ACCCCATGTCTAGCTTATCTGTCAGTTTTTCTTGCCTCTCTTTTCCTGATATTTGAGTGCTGGTACTAGAAGCTGCAAACAGATAGGGAAAATGAGTTTTCTGATCATGAACTGGTAGTGGTGGTTTCAGTCGTGTTTTGAGGAGGTAGGGGTGGAGAAGCAAAGGGTATACTTTATGTCAATGTCTGTATACATACATACATGTTAATGCTTTGGTTGTGTTTTATTTTGTTCTTGTTTTAACACCAAAGAAAATGAAATCTTTTGAACATTAAAAAATTTTTTAGCTCCTACTTAAATGTTTAAGTGTTGTCCAAGCATAGCTGAAATGGTAAAACAGAATTTTGATATAACATATTACAGAACTTGGGAATACCCCTTAATTTAAAGGAGAGCTGAATGTTAGACAGTGCTTTCTTTAATTTTAATGTCTCGCTCTGCATTGGTCTTTGGTTCAGACTGAATTCACGTTCTTAGCATGGCCAAGTGCCACAAAGTTGGGTGAGCGTTAAATATATAATGAGTTTCTTTTTAATAGCAGTGCTTTTAGCAGTGAAAGGGGGAGAATGAAAGGGAACTGTAATAGATTTCTTACCCCCAAATGTGTGTTCTTGGTAGAATTAAAAGTAGAGATAAAGCTGAAGCCTTGGGTTATGGATTTGAAGGTCCCATCATAGCCAGCATCAGAAAGTCACAGCACTAGTGGAAGAGAGACAGACTCAGCAGCTTGCAGTCATAGTAGCTTCCTCGGGATTTCTTTCCGGGTGTGCGTGGGGGTGGGGGGGTGGACCCTTCATAAGGGCTTTACGTTGTGTGGAATCAACTATATAAGGGGATAAGTCTTTGCAAATTATGAAGGGTATCATTTCTATAAGAACAAGAATAACTGATTTGATGTCTTTTAGCTTGAGAAATTGAACACTATAGTTGCTGCCCCCAAATACCTTTCCCTCAGTCTTATTTCTTGTCCTTTCTCCCAAAGTACCATGGTTTCAAATATAATGTTTACTGTACCATGCCTGTGTTTATCCTTTTAGTAGATAAGTGTCTGTCTACAAACCTTAGAGAGTATTGTAAGCGTGTTTGGAAACATTTAGAAGGTAATCCTCTGTATGTATCCTTCTGCCATTTGTTCTTTTTGGTTAGTACTTTTTAAAAAAGTAGTTGTTAGTATTTAGTGGTTCTTGCTTATTCATTTTTAAACTGCTTTTTGTCATTTTTATCTCTATTCATATATTTAATCATTCTCCCATTGGCTGTTGGCCTTTAGAGCAGAGTATTTGGGGGATGGAAGGAGGAATCTATTATGTCATATTTAAAGTTAGACTAGGAATGCTGTTTTGACTTTCAAAAAAGCCAGTTTCCTTTTTTGGTTTGCAGTGTCCTGGTGTATAACATTCCTGGGAAAACCCTTTGTTCTTCCCTGAGGGAAGGCGGAGAAGCCCAGTGTTTCCTTACACAGAGGAACACGTCTCGTCTCGTGTGAAGCACAGAACTGCATCTGCTGTGATGCGGGAAGCTTGTGAGGGATGGAGCTGCTGCGGCCAAAGCTTAATTGACTAAAATCCTCAGATTTTTCAAGTGCAGACAAGTCTTGGATGGAAATTTCTTGGCATGAATTCATTGTTTCTTTTCTCTGTTTGAAACTATCCATAATTTGGAGATGGTCTGCTTTATTTTTTAAGAGGATATGCGCCTTTTATGGTAAAAAAAAAAAAAGGCTGTCCTAGAATTGCCATGGTTTTATGAGGCAAGCTGAAAAAAAGGAAGGCTAAGGAATGAGGGGAGAGACTTCTTTTTGAGACAGGTGGTTTCCAAGAAATATTTGTCTTTTTTTTTTTTTTAATCAGAATGACTTAGGGGAGGAGGGGGGAGCTTCCATCCTTTGGGTCACTCCCCAGATGGCTACAATAGGAGAGCTAGGCTGAAGCCAAGAGCCTGGAACTCCATTTGGGTCTCCCATACGAATAATAGGGCCCAAGTACTTGGGCTACTATCCATTGCCTTCCCAGGTGGATTCGCAGGAAGCTGGATAGTAAGTGGAGCAGCCAAGACTCAAATCAGCATGCTAATATAGGACACAGGAGGCCCAAGTGGTGGCTTAACCTGCTACACCACAACCCTGGCCCCAAAATTTGTTTTACTAATGAATCTTCTGTGTGTATTAGTGTGTATGTTTGATAGTCATTGTTCTTAAAAAAGCAGTCTTATACTTTTTTTATCTTCTCAGTTTGATGCTGTTGTCTTTCATTTGTAGCATTGTTGGTAATGGTTGGAGCATTTTTGTGGAATGCACAGTGCGGAGCTTCATTCAGGTTGTACCTCCAAATGATTTGCTATAGTGCATTAACCAGAAATGCTGAGACAGCAAGGGAAACACTAATAAATGGATGCTTTCCAGGGACTGTAGCTAAGGCAAGCAAACATCAGCCAAAATTAAGATGAAAATGTTGGTTAGGCACTCAAGATGTAGTCTGGCCAAATATGCTATTAGCAGTGGATCTCCTGTTCTAATTAAATTAATTGGGATCTGGGCAGTTTGAACCACCAGATTGTTAAAAAGGATGGCCAATTTTAAGGATATTAGAATTAGGGGTTATACAAGAATAGTCTTTTGGCTAAAAATTAGGATAAAAAATTATCTCTTTGCTTTTTGGATAGATTCCGGAGCCTTAAAGATGATTAAACTCAGCTGCCTGTTTACTTGTTACCCGGTTCTGTAGGAAAGCTGCTGAATGTACCTCCAGTAAAGGAAAACATTTTTTAATGGTTGGAATGATTAGATGGAAGGAGGGAGTAGGGTATTGCTAATTAAGAATGCTTTATTTTTTTCATAATTGTTGTTTTTCTTACTAACTGCACAATTTTTTTTACTCAGGACTAGTGCACTTGTTTTTGGGAAGAGGAGGTAGTGGTATGTGAAGTGTTTCTTCTATTGTTTTTGTTTTGAGATAATCTCTTATTTTCCAAAAGAATTACTTAATTTTACTTGAAAGGCAAAAAGACAGAGACAATGGGAAATCTTTCATCCACTGGTTCATTCTTCAAATGCTGGCAACAGCAGGACTGAGACAGGCTAAAACAAGGTTTTCCATGTGGGTGACAGTAACACAGTCTCCTTGAGTCCAGGGTGTGCATTAGCAAGAAGCTAGAATTGGAAGCAGAGCCAGGATTTGAACCCAGGCACTCTGATACTGGATGTGAGCATCCCAAGTGGTGACTTAACCATTGGGCCAAATGCCTCTTCCTGTGTCTTATCATTCTACACTTGATCTTAGCCAAAAGGCCAAGAAGCAATGTGTCTTATTCTGAAGCAGAATCCCTGTGCTGAAAAGCTGTGTGGCTAGGCAAATGAATTGTTTGTTTTCATTCCTTTAGTGAACTAAGATTTCTAAGTTTTGTAAACTTGTTTCTTTTTCTTTTTTTTTTTTATCTTTTATTTAATGCATATAAATTTCCAAAGTACGACTCATGGGTTACAATGGCTTTCCCCCCCATACCGTCCCTCTCACCCACAACCCTCCCCTTTCCCACTCCCTCTCCCCTTCCATTCACATCAAGATTCATTTTCGATTATCTTAATATACAGAAGATCAGCTTAGTATACCTTAAGTAAGGATTTCAACAGTTTGTTCCCACACAGAAACATAAAGTGAAAAATAATAGATGATTTTTTTTTAAATGATGATGAAATCAGATCAGACCTATTGTCATGTTTAATCCCAGTGAGAGTCAAGTTGGGAATTGATAATTTCTTTTCTTTTCTTTTCTTTCTTTTTTTTTTTTACAGAAGATCAGTTTAGTGTACATTAAGTAAAGATTTCAATCGTTTGCACCCCCATAGAAACACAAAGTGAAATATACTGTTTGAGTACTCGTTATAGCATTAAGCCTCAGTGTACAGCACATTAAGGACAGAGATCCTATATGAGGAGTAAGTGCACAGTGACTCCTGTTGTTGACTTTACAAATTGACACTCCTGTTTATGGCATCAGTAATCTCCCTATGCACCAGTCATGAGTTTCCAAGGCTATGGAAGCCCCTTGAGTTCTCCGACTCTTATCTTGTTTAGACAAGGTCATAGTCAAAGTGGAGGTTCTCTCCTCCCTTCAGAGAAAGGCACCTCCCTCTTTGAAGACCTGTTCTTTCCACTGGGATCTCACTCACAGAGATCTTTTTGCCAGAGTGTCTTGGCTTTCCATGCCTGAAATACTCTCATGGGCTTTTCAGCCAGATCCGAGTGCCTTTAGGGCTGATTCTGAGGCCAGAGTGCTATTTAGGACATCCGCCATTCTATGAGTCTGCTGAGTATCTCACTTCCCATGTTGGATCACTCTCCCCTTTATTTATTCTATCGGTTAGTGTTAGCAGATACTAGACTTGTTTATGTGCTCCCTTTGACTCTTAGTCCTTTCATTATGATCAATTGTGAACTGAAATTGATCACTTGGAATAGTGAGATGGCATTGGCACATGCCACCTTGATGGGATTGAATTGGAATCCCCTGGTAAACTTGTTTCTAAAACTAGTAAAAGTTCCTGAATGAACCTGTGTAGCCTAAACTTTCTGTTGTCAGAATCTTTTCTAACTGAAAAAAAAAAAATTATTTCTTCATTGTTTATTAGGTTTCTATCAGTTTTTGATATTCTGGAAGCACAGAAATGAAGTTAAAAAAAGTTTCCCTTCTTTAATCAGAAAGTATTTCTAAGACTATGTGTTTATGAATTGTTTCAGATTCCCAGTATTTACATTGGTTTGAGCTTACCATGTGGTACCGAAGATTTAATACAGTATTTCTCATAGTCAGTCTGGATTTATTCTAGATTACAGCTCATATTCCTATCATAGAGTCCTCAATTCCTGAGGCTCACTCTCATAACTAATGGTCTTTTTGAACTTCCTTTTCTTCTTTTGCATTATGCACTGAGCTAGCCACGTTAGCAGGTTCAGGAGGGCCTTTACCTTCCACATTGACTTTACTTTCTTCTGTTCTTTTAGGTGTTTCACTACCATTCCTACAGTGGTTGGCAAGATTGCGTTTCCACCTCACTCTCCATGTTCCATGCCAGTGACAACCTAGCTGCTAGAGTGTGGAGCTGGCCTATGGAAGTCAAGTAAGTGCCTTTTTTACTGTTTAGCATGGTTTTTGCTTACTTTGCAAAGCCATGTAGAGGAACTTCTTAAGATTAGTTTTTAAAAAGGCACTTGCTTGGTTTTGTGGGCCAGCTCTTTGCTCCAGCCTGCTGTTGAACACCTGGTAGCTACGTGAGGCTGAATTTAGTGAAGTAACTCTTGCAGAATAGAACACTTTTATTAGGAGAAACCCTAAGGGCTGATACATATGAAGCTGGCCTGATTAGATGACTTCATACTGGTGAGGAACTCCTGTCCTATCCTAGAACAAATCAGAACAGTTAGCTCAGTTACTCTGGCCTTCTGGAAATTTAATAGGTTATGAATGACCGAGGATCTGCTAGGCTGCATGGGAACAGGGTAGCTCTCCCTGGAAAGCCAGTGACTGTGACATTTATCTTAATGAAGTTATGGTTGACTTTAATCAGGTTTGGGTTTCTGTGTTTATCAATGAATTTTCTAAAACCTGGTATTTTACTTTTGCAGGTCATCTTGTAAATTTTGCCTATGTAAATTAACACATCCCCTGTTATGTCATAACAACCATGTAAGGGAGAGTGTTTTCCTGCTCTGTCTTAGGTATTGGTGATGTGACCTGTTCACGCAGGGGAAACTTGAACATTCACAGGTATGTGAAGATCATGATTCATAAGCATTTTCTCCCTGCAAATGAAACAGTTCATTTCAGCATGAACTCTTGCTGAGATTTTACAAAATTGGTCTTGCTGGTTGATTTTCCTGCTCCCTGTTACTATAGAACAGGGATTGGTAAACTAGAAATGCTATTTGTTTTTGTAAATGAAGTTTTATTGAAACACAGATCCAGATATTTATATATCATCTGGCTGCCCTTGCACTATAATGGCAGAGTTGTGACCGAGACCATTGGTCCATGAAGTTTAAAATAGTTGTGATCTGGCCCTTTAAGAAAAAGTTTGGCAACTCCTACTATAGAAGAACAAAACCAAATTGTATTTAGATATAAACTTGCTAAAATCACAATTGATTCAAATAGGCTTCTAAAGAGAAAACTGAGAATGCCAAGACCTGTGTCATAATTTTGTTTTAGAATAGCTTTAGATTTGTGGAAAACAAGATGAGGATAGTCCACAGAGTTCCCAACTTTCTCTTTTCCTTATTGACGTATTACTGTAAATATTTGTTATGTGTGTATGGTTACAAATACTAGGTTAATTAAGTGGAAAAGCTATGATAGCAGTCCAATTTCTTTATCATTCATTATATTGTATATATAAATACATGTATTCATTATATTCTAAGTTTCAGATTCTTTAACAATTTTATAGTACATATAAGGATAAAAGATTTAACTGTGATATCTTACACAGCCCAGAATTGATAGTGAAAGAACCTCCTGATTCATGTAAGAATTATAATTAAAATGGATTTGAGGGGCAGGTGTCTTGCCTGGTGGTTTAGACCAAAGTTAGGACATCCACATCCCATGTTGGAGTGCTTGGGTTTGAGTCCTGGTATCGCTCCTAATTCTAGCTTTTTGTTAATGTGCACCATGGGAGGCAATTAGGATGGCTCAAGTACTTGAGTCCCTGCCATCCATGTGGGAGGCCGGGATTGAGTTGTCAGCTCCCAGCTTTGGCCCACTCCCAGCCACTGCGGTAATTTGGGGATTAAACCAGAAAATGGGAGTGTGCTTTCTGTCTCTCCCTCTCCGTGTTCCTCTACTTCTGAAATAAAATTAATTAATTAATTAAAATTTTTATGTGGACTTGAGATCATGGAAATTGAGGACTGCCATTTCAGGGATCACAGGACAAATGGGTGGTAGAACTGCAGCTAGAGGCTCGTCCTCTCGTCCTCGCTCGCGGTTCCTTCCTCCAGGTTTCAGTACCTGTTAGCAGGCTGCATGTTTTCTCTGTTAGCCCAAATGCATAGGCTGTTTCCCTTTACTCTCTCAGACCAAAAGGAAGGCCTTATGGTTTAAACCACAAAGATATGATTGTTGGAATGTTGATCTCACTTGGAGTTTGGATTCTTTCATTTTTTGTGGGTGACTGGGGAATTGCTTCTTAGTGAATCATTATGTGATTTTTAGTTATATACTCGAAAGGTTAAATTAGATGAGATAAAAAAGGAAGCCAGACTCTTGTTCATAATTTTATAGCTAGGAGCAAACCCAGAATTGTTATAGATAGAATTCTTCCCTCATGTATCTGTGTATCTAAACCCATAGATGGAAACTGTGTATGTGTATGTGGGTGCATGTGTGTGTGCCACTGGATTGCATTCTGAAAATAGTTTAGCAGATGTATTCCAATCTGCATATTATGTTACATAGTTTTAAGTGGACTTTGAAAATGAAGTTTAGATTTGTAGGAAAATGATGAGAAGGGGCTGGTGTTGTGGTATAGCAGGTTAAGCCACTGTCTGCAGCATTGGCATCCTGTGTGGATGCTGGTTGAGGCCCAGCTGCTCCAGTTCTGATCCAGCTCCCTCCTAATGCACCTGGGAAAGCAGCAGAATATGACTCAACTGCTTGGTCCCCTGCACTCGTGTGGGAGACCTGAATGAAGCTCCTGGCTTCTGACTTTAGTCTGACCCAGCCCTGGCTGTTCTAGCCATTTGGGGAGTGAACCAGTATATGGAAGATGTTTTTCTCTCTGTATCTGCCCCTCTTTCTCTGTAAGTCTGCCTTTCATATAAATAAAACAAATCTTATAAAGAAAAATGAGGATAGTCCATAAAGTTTCCATATATCCTTTTTCCTTATTGACATCTTACATTACTGTAGCATAATTGTTAAAATTAATGATACAATTTTGATGCACTTTTATTAATCAAAGTACATACTTTATTCAGATTTGCTTAGTTTTTGCCCAATATTCTTTTTTCTGTCCCAGAATTAAGTGATTATTGGCATGTTCATTGAGGTAGAAGATCATTTGTAGATTAGACAGTTCTGAGGTCCCTTTCCCTCTTAGATATTTTGATTAAATGAGTATAGCCTGCTGCTACAAAATTGTGACTTGCAACATTTATATTCTGTAACATGTTGAAAAGTCGATACTTTATCTTATTGAAGTCATGGCTCTTTGGTTGTTTGTTTCTAAATTTTAGCATCATCAGATTCAGAAAGGGTAAGACAAACTTGGTTACTTCTATTACTGTCCCATGCTAAACCTCAGATGAAAATTTTCTGGGGCCCGTGCTGTGGCTCGCTAGTCCTCCTCCTGCAGTGCCGGTACTCGGGTTCTAATCCCAGTTGGGGCACTGCTTCTGTCCTGGTTGCTCCTCTTCCAGTCCAGCTCTCTGCTGTGGCCCGGGAGTGCAGTGGAGGATGGCCCAAGTGCTTGGGCCCTGCACCCACATGGGAGACCAGGAGGAAGCACTTGGCTCCTGGCTTTGGATTGGCGTAGCGCGCTGGCTGTAGCAGCCATTTGGGGGGTGAACCAATGGAAGGAAGATCTCTCTCTTTCTCTCTCTCTCTCTCTCTCTGTCTAACTCTGTCCCAAAAAAAAAAAAAAAAAAAAAAAAATTTTCTGAATTTAATTGCTTCATGTGGGAGTAGTGATGTGGTTATCTGTCCTGCTTCAATGTATTTATCCACCTGGAAGTAATTTTTGAAGTCAGAAATTTCTAATAGATCATTAATCATTTAGATTTCCCCGTAAGGACCTGCAGTCTTCTTCCTTAAAAGTTCTTTATTTACTGAAGTTGAACACATGCATGCCCTATGACTCAGCAGTTCTACTTCTAGATTTATACAAACAGCACTGTGGGCATATATTCACCGAAAGACATGGACAAAAATGTTCATGGCAGGACTAATAGTCAAAACTGAAACTTCCCAAATGTCCGTGAACGGTCGGATGGGTAAATGGGTTGTGATATAGTCACACAATGAGTATTAGACAATGATTAGAATGTACAAACTACAGCTACATATAAAAATGCGGGAATCTCACAAATGTAAGGTTGAGCAAAGAAAGTGAGGCACTAATACTGTACGCCCCATGATTGGATTTACATACAATTCAAAAAAGGCCATCCTCCACTGCGGTGTCTGAAGTCAGGATGTTGATTACTCTTGTTGAAGGTTGGAGGAAATGTTTGCAAAGAGGTGCGAATGGGGCTTTGGGAGTGCTAAGATATTCTGTTTTTTGGTTTAGGTGCTGGTTACATGGCTGTGTTCACTTTGTGAAAATGTTATTAAACTTAAGTACTTTGCATACACTGGTTAGTTTCCAAAGAAGAAAGGTATACCAGAAGTATCAAACGTATTAGCACTTCTGAAACACACACAAACCATCCCCAGAATTTCACTAGTAATGTTTAAGGGATATATATACAGAACACATTGAACAAATTTATTTTAGAATATGAGTTTGTGGCATCAGAAATGGAAGATTATCAAAGTGCCATTGTATTACTACAGCTGTTATAGTCCTATTGTATTATTAGATGAGTAAAATAGGTAGTGCTAACGGTTTCTTTTTAGTGTAACCAGATTTTGGGATGCTTCAGAGGACAATGTCTTTTCTTTTTGGTCTGTATTAAGTTGAGCCACCACGTTATAGCATCTCCTCCCCTCCACCTTTATTTATTTATTTACTTTTACTGCAGTGAAGACTGCTCAGCCAAGTAGCTGTGGTTTGGGTGTAGCTGTTGCTTCAGCATTGCTAATAGAGCGTCGTTCCCCCGAGTTGTCTTTTTCACATCCGTGCCTGAACTTCAGTCTTGCATCGCTGTATATTTAGTGTGTTCTTTTATCTTTCAAGGCATCACCTGACATCCAACAAGAATATGCAGCTTTCTTCCCAAATGGAACGCTTTTTTGCAACATTTCTTACTGATTCCTTTTGTTTTATCCAGTTATTTGAGTTAGGCTTTGCTTGTTTCTTATCTCTCTCACACATCTGCTGAAATACTGTATTCTCCATAAGGCTTTCCGTGGTCTCCTTTTATAAAATTTTTATTGTATTGGCTGTTCCGAGATGATTTCTGATATACTACAGTGTTTAGGTACTGATGCCTTGCTGTAGTGATGCATTATCGCTATTTAGGGCAGTGTTGTTTGTGGGTGTGAATAATGGTTATATTTGCTGTTGAGACTGAAAAAAAAAAAAAACATTTCATTTTCCTTGAAATGAAAATATCTTTGATACATATAAACAAATCAGTGTGGGCCTATAATTGGTAATTGCAATTTGAAATTACTATTAACTTCAATTCCTTATGAGGAGCTCAACAATATTTACAGTTGAATGTGTATTTGGTAGTATGTTATTCTCACAATAACATAATTGCAACTTTGAAGATCTCTGTTAAGTGATGGGAAAATGGGATTTGTACTTTTTTAGAAAATCAAAATGGGTTTATGGGGAGTTTTTCTTGTATAAATAATAAAATGTACAGATTAGCATGCTGATTTATCACACAGGTCAGCATCTTTAATCCAGAAATCTCCAAAATCTGAAACTTTTTTTTTTAGAATTATTGTATTGATTTCAAAGAGTTACAGAGAGAGAGGTAGAGCCAGAGAAAGAGAGAGAGAGAGAGAGAGAGAGAGAGGTCTTCCATTCCGCTGCTTCACTCCCCAAATGACCACAATGCCCAGGGCTGAGCTGATCTGAAGCCAGGAGCCAGGAG